CTACGGGAAGGAAACTGAAAGAAACTGGTATGAACACCACCCAGACCCGGTTACGGAGATAGGACCTGTTACAATTCTATGGGACTACACAATACACACTGACAGAACAATCAAATCCAATCGGCCAGATATTGTTATTAAAGACCACAAACAAAAAACGGTGCCTCCTTATTGATATGGCAGTCCCTGCTGACTGCAATGTATCTTTGAAGATATTCAAAAAGCTGTCCAAATACAAGGATCTTGAAATAGAAATCTCGAAAATGTGGCATATGGGAACATCAACAATCCCTGTTGTAGTTGGAGCCCTAGGACTGGTTGGAAAAGATTGCAGTAGACTAATTGAAGGGATTCCTGGAAGTCCATGCCTCAAGGAGATACAAAAAATTGTTCTGACAAGTACAGCCCACACCTTACGAAGGGCTCTATCTATGTAATTTAATTTTTTTTTTTTTTTTTTGTCAATGGAAAGTGTCATGACGCCATTTCTAACCTTAGGTCCCTGGGCGGGACTCGGAAAGAAATGTGTAAACGCCAGAAATCAAAGAAAATAAAAATAATGATAATAATAATAATAATGATAATAATGTTAATAATGATAATAATAATGATAATGATAATAATAATAATAATAATAATAATAATGATAATGATAATAATATTAATAATGATAATGATAATAATAATAATGATAATGATAATAACGATAATAATAATAATAATATTACTACTGCTACTACTACTAATAATGATGATAATATTAATAATAATAATAGTGATAATGATAATAATAAATAAAAAATGTCTGGCAATGTTTTTCCCAGAATGTATGATACGGACCCCCTCCCCCCACTTTCTTACATCTCAATTTTCATAGGATAGTATTCATATAAAATGCAAATTTTATTGTAACCTAATTACGTGCAATAATGGATTATATGAAATATAAATGAACAATTCAACTAGAAAAATTGAAAATAAATACAATGTAAATTAGAGACGTCATAATGAATAAATCAACAATGTTTTGCGGCAATTTTTAACATCAACTTGAGATTTTTCTTGTTAAAGAGTTAAATAATTTAACAGATTCAACATTACGGATAAAAAAAAATCGTGAATTTTATATATTGTCTTTCCAAAACTGAGCATGAGCAAAAAAAAAAAAAATTCACAAATTTGGACAAAAACAAAAAGACCCCAGAATGACGTCAAAATCCGGGAAAATTTGTCATCATTTAATAATCAGTTGTGCTTAGTTTAATTTGTAATGTATATAAATGCAGGTAGAAAAAAGTAAATTTTAATAAGATAGCTAAGGTCACAAACTAGTCCCTGGGGGGGCCCCATCAAGGCTTGAGGCCTTCGGTCGGGGATTTTGAGGCAGTACAAACCTGCCCTGCTAATACCCTCCCTGCTTATTTTCCCCAAATTTGACTAAAAGCCAGTATAAATCCAGTAGATGACATTCATTAAGAATTCAGTCTAAAAATACGAAAATGTTCTTTTTCACAGCGTTTATTGATGAGAGGGACATTATTCTTCTTTCAGTAGCCAAAGCCAAGAGTTTGGACGTATTCAAAATACATTTTGAATATATTAGCAGATGTTAATTCTCCTTGTTCCAAGGTCTTAAATCATTTCAAATACAGCGTTTTCATTATTCCGGTTTTCTGCATACTACCGGTATTCTTTTTATATCTTACCCTCCACCCCTCCCTGCTTATTTTCCCCAATTTTGGCTTAATGTACATATGGTTACTACTGCTACTAGAAGAAGAAGAAAAAGAGAAGAGGGGGAGGAGAAAAAGAAGAAGGAGGAGGAGGAAGAAGGAGGAGGAAGAAGGAGGAGGGAGGGAAACGACGAGGAATAATGAGGAGGAGGAAGAGGAGGAGGAAGAAGAAGAAGGTAAAGAAGAAGAAGAAGACGAGGGGAGGGGCAGGAGAAAAAGAATAATGAGGAGGAATAATGAGGAGGAGGAAGAGGAGGAGGAGGAGGAGGAAGAAGAAGAAGAAGAAGAAGAAGAAGAAGAAGAAGAAGAAACATCTGGTAATATTATACCGGTAACTTTTATATATATTTTGTCATATAATATATATATATATATACCATTATAAGACATATATATATATATATATATATATATATATATATATATATATATATATATATATATATATAATGATTATATATATATATATATATATATATATATATATATATATTTTCACCCCAAGCAAGGCGGGAAGCCACTAGGACGCAAGGGGTTACAGAAAATAGGAAGATCAGATAGGAGTGATAGAAGAAAGGATGAGGGTAGTAGATAGATTAAGGCAACTGGAGATGTCGATTGACATTACACTTGAATAGCTGGAGATTATAACTCACATGGAAACAGGAGAAGGGAAGAGAGTTCCACAGGCGAGAGGTGCGAGACATGAAGCCATTAGAGTAGAAGAGACGGCTACATTTAGGAGTTTCGACAGTGAAGGGGTGAGAGCGGGATGCCAGCCTCGTAGGGCGCTTGAACTCATGAAGTCAACAGACAGAGGGAGGCGACGGTGCGTCTGTGAGAAAGTGACTGTAGACGAGACGCCAGGGCAGGGCAGGGCCAACCATATTGCATATCCGCTTCTGGAGCCTCTCAAGAACCCCGAGGCAAACAGAAGGGGCGCCAGACCATATATGGCAGCAATACTCCATGCAAGGGCGAATTGTGGATTTGTATATCTGGAGGATCGACTCAGGGGAGAAAAAACCTGGCGCGGCTCAGGAGCCAACTTTCCTTGCAGTGGACGAGGCAATTGACTCAATGTATTTATTCCATCTCAGGTCAGCAGTCAACGTGAGACCGAGAAGCCGCAGAGAGTTGCTCTCGAGAAGTTGAGCGTCAGACATTCTAATGGAGGGAAGGGAGGGCTCTCTGTGGTGATTAATAGAGAGCAGTTTTGTCTTCGAAGCGTTGAAGTTGACCAGCCAATTCATGCCCCAGTTCACAACCGATTGGAGGTCCTTTTCGAGACGCACGGCAAGGTGAGTTTTGTCAGCGAGACTAGATTTCTTTTTGAGGGAGGAATAAATTGTGGTGTCATCCGCGTAGATGTCGACTTGAGAAGTTACGGCGTCAGGAAGGTCATTTATGTAGATAAGGAATAGAGTGGGGCCTAGGATGGAGCCTTGAGGGACACCTGCGTTCGTGGGATAGGAACTGGAGGAGAATCCGTTGTGAACGACCTTCAATTCACGGTTTGACAGGAATGATTGTATTACGTTATATAATCGACCCGTAATGCCATAAGCCTGGATCTTGCGGAGAAGGCCGGCGTGCCAAACCCTATCAAATGCTTTGGAGATATCTAGTGCCACGGCTTGGGCTTCCCCGTTATTTTGGAGAGTTCGGTAGACTATATATATGTTATCATTATAATAATTTAATTTTATAAGACCTCTTCCCTTTAAGTTTACGTCCTGCGTAAGACTGTAAACAACATCCGACTGCAAGATCTCTTTTCAGGAGGTTTTGAGGAGCATGGAACCACCTCTTAATTGCTGCTGTTCCTAGGTTCATTCTGACCCGGAGTGGTAGCACTTATTAGGGTCCCATCTATGGGAAAATAGTTAACCCCTAAACTGTGGTCAAAACGTGTAGGTTTTAATATCAGCAAAACATTTTTGAAAAAAAATATTATCAGCAATACTTTTTTTGAAAAAAATTAGCAAAGATACTTTTTGAAAAAAAAATTACCAGCAATAAAAAATCTTGTCACACATTCAGACCTAACCAGACCGAACCCTTTAAGGCTAATACCTTCCACCCACCTCTAACTACCGTCTGGAGCATTTTGTCTGACTGAAACATCGAAATAGCTAAATTCTGTAACAATTTTTCGATAGCTGTCAAAGTTAAATTTCTAATTCCGACATGAATTCAGTCTGTATACCGGGGTTGAATAAGACTGCCGTAGTTGTTATCGTCAGTTGAAATAGATCTATATCCACCGCCCATATGAGGTAATTTTGGGTTTTTATTGTGTAACTATATTATCATTATACAGTGTAACCCGGATATAAGAGAGTTGTCGGGGCCGGAGAAGAAGTCTCTTATATCCGGGTTTGGTCTATTTTGTTTAGGTAAGTATGGGAACACTTTGGGACCAGAGAAAATCTCTCTTATATCCGGGTTTCTCTTATATCCGGGTTTGGTCTATTTTGTTTAGGTAAGTATGGGAACACTTTGGGACCAGAGAAAATCTCTCTTATATCCGGGTTTCTCTTATATCCGGGTTTGGTCTATTTAGGTAAGTATGGGAACACTTTGGGATCAGAGAAAATCTCTCTTATATCCGGGTTTCTCTTATATCCGGGTTTTGTCTATTTTGTTTAGGTAAGTATGGGAACACTTTGGGACAAGAGAAAATCTCTCTTATATCCGGGTTTCTCTTATATTCGGGTTTGGTCTATTTTGTTTAGGTAAGTATGGGAACACTTTGGGACCAGAGAAAATCTCTCTTATATCCGGGTTTTGTCTATTTTGTTTAGGTAAGTATGGGAACACTTTGGGACCAGAGAAAATCTCTCTTATATCAGGGTTTCTCTTATATCTGTGTTTGGTCTATTCTGTTTAGGTAAGTATGGGAACACTTTGGGACCAGAGAAAATCTCTCTTATATCCGGGTTTGGTCTATTTTGTTTAGGTAAGTATGGGAACACTTTGGGACCAGAGAAAATCTCTCGTATATCCGGGTTTCTCTTATATCCGGGTTACACTGCATATATAGTTGCCATATAATATCTATTGCCATACATATATATTTTGTCATATAATGACAAAAAGCTGATTCTCTTTATTTATAGGGTAAGTCATTTTTTTTTTCATGAATTGGCTGTAAGTAATTGACCAGCTAATGCTACTGAGATTAAATTACTCACAAGATCACCACGCATCGAACTCATTACAGCATGCATATAAATAAAATAGATCGACAGAAAAACTACTAACAGACATTAAAGGAGAGTTCATTTCCAGAAGATTAGTAAGGTCCAATTGTTTGTAGAGTTGCAGTCTGATATCGTCGATTTGTAATTTTTTCTGTAATGCTTTGTCGAAATCTTCATTCTCGGCAGCGTGTCGCTTTTCGACTTCAAGTTTACCCAATCGTTCACCACCCTGTCGAAAAAAAAATGGAGAGAACAAAGATACGATTACAGCAGCTGAAAAATACTTCAAATCCTTCAAAGGCATGAAAGGATGTATGCATGATATGTGAATGATATGTGAATAATATATGAAAGATATGTGAATTATGTATGTATGAGTTTTGAATGTTATGCGAATGATGTATAAATGATATGGGAATATCTGAATGATGTACGAATATGAGAATGATATGTGAATGATGTATGAATGATATGTGAATGGCATGTGAAAGATGTATAAATGATATATGAATGGTATGTGAATGATGTATGAATATGCGAATAATATATGAATGATGTATGAATGATATGTGAATGGTATGTGAAAGATGCATGAATGATATATGAATGGTATGTGAATGATGTATGAATATGCGAATAATATATGAATGATGTATGAATGATATGTGAATGGTATGTGAATGGTAAGTGAATGATGTATGAATGATATATGAATGGTATGTGAATGATGTATGAATATGCGAATAATATATGAATGATGTATGAATGATATGTGAATGGTATGTGAATGGTAAGTGAATGATGTATGAATGATATATGAATGGTATGTGAATGATGTAGGAATATGCGAATAATATATGAATGATGTATGAATGATATATGAATGGTATGTGAATGATGTATGAAGAAATATTAGTCTTATTAGCCGCCATTAACATTACAATTGACTTGTACTAGAAAATCTATCATTGTCAGCATCAGCTGAAACCTCGTTAAAAAAGCAATGCTGATTTTAAGAATTTGTTGAATTATAAAAAAACCGTTCCACTGAAAATAACTGAAAACATATCGTGAAAGAAGAATTAATTGCATTCCTTGTTCTAGTCAGGTTACATATCAATTTTTAAAAACAAATTATTTTACAAACCTTTTGAAGTTTTTCAATTCCAGTTTTAATCCGTTTTGCAAACTCATATCGTTCCTCTGAAAAATAAATAGACAAAAGAATTGTACGGATTTCAGTGCATATTCTAATATTAGGCTCGGGAAAAAAAAAGTTCGTAGCGAACACGTGACTGAAATTCAAGATATATACCGGGTGTAACAGCAAAATTGTCCAAACCTTGTAACAGTATGGGATAATAGTCCATCCCACAAAATGTTTAATATCTAAAAAAAAAAAAAACAAAAAAAACTAAACAAATTGAGTTTCTTTTTTCCAGGTTTTCAGATAAGAAGTTTAGCCATCTTGACACCGTTTTTCATAAGAATCACCAAAAAAAAAAACTTTGAGTTATTCACCTAGAAAGAGAACAGGTTGAAACCGTTTTGTGTCAGCACAACTATATTTTCCCAAGTGAGCAATGGTGAGAGGAAAAAGATCATTCACGCCTTCAGTAATGGTACAAAGATTCATACTCTGGCTTCCATCTTCGTCCATTCAACAACCATCAAGAGAACTGACTAAGTTTAAAAAAGAGGGGGCAATAGAGAGGAAAACTGGATCAAGAGTTCACAACAGGAAGAGGGATCATCATTTCAACTTAGAGCTAAATACATTCTTAATGTTCAGAGACCAATAGTGTTAGAAAAACCACAGAGAATTTCAGTAAGATATTCAGTATTTCTAAGATACAACGGTTCAAAGATTAATCTAACACTTGGACAATTTTGCTGTTACACAATTTGGACAATTTTGCTGTTACACGATTTGGACAATTTTGCTGTTACACACCGTATACATATTCTTTTCAACACGTCTTTCTCTGTAATTTGTGTGCGGAATGTGAATTTAAAAATTTTTTTTTTTTTTTGCGTCAGAAGTGAAAAATGGTGGGAAATGTGTTGCAATTTCGCCATTTGAAGCTCTTTTCATTTTCTGAAATGCTATCAAAAATAGCAAAAAAGTGTTGTTGTTCAGGTAAAAATCTGGTGGCGTGTATAATTCTATTTCAGTAGTCTTCGATGAAGTTCTGTATACAGGTTAACTGATACCATATTATAGTGGGAGAATAAGGCTATTTTCTTTGTATTGTGTTTCTCTTAATACACCTAGAGGGGTGGAATAATTCAAAGGAAATGAGGCTCAGATTTCAGTTTAAGATAGAATACAATGTCTGTCAATTATGTTAAGCAATATTATTATATTGAGGGAGAGAGAGAGAGAGAGAGAGAGAGAGAGAGACAGAGAGACAGAGAGACAGAGGGAGAGAGAGAGAGTAAAATTACTTACGAAGAACAGCTTCTTGTTTTTTCCTTTCGAGTTTTCTGATCAGCTGAGCCACTTCAGGATCTTGGTACATGTCAAAAGCCAGATCATCTAAAGGTGAAATATAATCGGGCCTGAAAAAAATTAATATATAGAAGACCTTATTTTGAAGCTAATTTTAAGGGGGTCACATCATACACGTGATATAAAATTAGCGTATTTACTTCTGGCCCTGGCTACGCCGTTGGCCAAACTATATATCCATTTACTGTAGTAAAAAAAAGAAAAAGAAAAAGTGCAGCCATATTTAAAATAAACATCGCACATTACACGAGTATATACGTGGCCGAGTAGTTAGAACGTTCGCATTCTGGCCATGAGACTCGCGTTCGAATCTCACCATGGTCGATTTGTCAGGAAGAAACTTCCTGATGTTATCGGACTGGAAAATCATACTACGGGTTGACCTAAGACTTGTGAGTGAAATTGGGTAGACGGGACCTTTGTTAGCTCTGCTAGCACAAAGTCACAAGTCATCGTGGCCGAGGGCTTGAGCGTGATGACTTTTTACAAATTGTTGATCACGCTAGATAACACGCTCTTTCCC